TGAAGGCGCCTAGATTCGAAACTTGATTTTTATAATAAAACTACGAAGTCTTGGATAATTTCATTCATTAAACTAATTACGTATTTTAGTGTCCATATAATTAAAGTAATCCGGACAAGGTCTTGTATTGTTTATTAAATGTTTATTAAGGGTTTTAATTCTGCTTGTCCGGAGATTGGATATTGTTCGGATTTTCCATAGATCCGTACAGCGTTTGGATTGGTTATTAATTTTCCGGACAAAAAGGACAAACGCTGATTGGTGATAGAGGGTTATATATAGGACCCAACTTCAGCATTTCGACACACTTGAATCTTCATCCCTTTGGGTTGTTAGTACGTTCTGAACCATATCTTCTGAAAGAGTCTAAGGTATTCAAGATGATAGATCTTGTAGTGGATGATGCTAATTTTTATAAAGACTCGCGCGTCCGGACAGGACAGTATTATAAGTAGAGAAATTATTTTAGTCATGTAGACCAGTAGTTTGTTTGTTTACAGTTCGAGTTATTAATTAGGACTTATGACCGGAACATTTCTATTAGTTGTTTGAATATTTGAATAGGTGATATCACTTTTTCGAATAGGTGATATGTTGTAAAAAATTCAAATAGGTGATACCACCTATTCAAATTGGTGATATCACCCATTTATTTTCAATAGGTGACATCACCTATTTGAATAGGTAATATCACTTATTCGAATAGGTGATATCACATATTCGAATTGGTGATATCACAGAATGGAAATGAATAGGTGATATCACCTATTCGAATAAGTGATATCACCTATTCGTGCTGAATAGGTGATATCACCTACTCAATTTGAATCGGTGATATCACCAATTCGAATAAGTGGTATCACCTATTTGAATTTTTTACAACAATAAAAAATGAATGCTCAATATAATATATAGATTACCACTGGAACCAAGAAAATTCGGACTACCCAGTTTCATGCGTTAATTCAATTTTTCTTAAAGACTACATGATAGATAAGTGAAATAAATTAATTTGTGAGCAAAACAAACTACAATTTCTACTGGGGTTGATTAAAATTAAATGCAAAACTGTAATCTATTGTCAAGAATGATGAGTTATAAAACGAAAAAATGAAGGTAAATAAGATATTGGGACCTATATAGTCTTGGGAGCTGTTATTATTTCATAAATAATTAGAATAAGTGATATCACCTATTCTAATAAGTGATATCATCTACTTAAAATGATATGGTGATATTACCTTTTCGAAAAGGTGATATCACCTATTCAATTTGAATAGGTTATATCACTAATTCAAATAAGTGATATCAAGTATTCCCTTCCTATTCGAATAAGTGATATCACCTTTTTGAATAGGTGATATCACCAATTCAAATCAAATAGGTGACATCACCTATTTGAATAGGTGATATCACTTATTCGAATTCAAAATCTGAATAGGTGATATCATGAACCCATTCGAATAGGTGATATCACCTATTCGAATAGGTTATATCACTTTTTGGCAGTACATACCAAAACGTCACCCCATAGTTTTCGGCACCTATTAACGTAAAAAGAACCTTGAAACACTGCAAAACATTTACATGCTAAAGCATCATCAACTCTAAAAGGCAATCAATTTTATTTGTTATTTATATGCAAACCGGAACTATGTTGATGTATCTTGCTTGTTTCTGAAAAATAATAAAGAGTGCATGGATTAATTCAATTTTCTGTTACACTTAGGTTTTTTTTCAATTTTTAAAAAAATTAAATGGACATTATAATATAAAATCAATAAAAATGCAAAGTTCAACAACTTAGTAGTATATTTATATTGTAAAATTACCGAAATTGCATGTCAATCCTGAATAGTCCTGTGGACATCTACATTGGAAGGTACCTATAGTATTCGCACAAATACCGTCGTTGAGGCAAGGATGGTTGCCATGGCACTCATCAACATCTATAAACAAAATTATGGCAATACATTAAGTTTTGGAAATTTTCTTATTATAAAGAATAACGTACATGTATATGATTGAAATATATTATAATATACATTTATTACGTATAGCCCAAGGAAGTTGGCAAAGTGTCTTCCTTCTTCATTTACTAACCTTCGTTACAATGTTGTCCCTGTATTCCGGGTTCACATTTGCAATGATAAGATCCTGCTGTATTGACACATGCCCCATAGACACATGGACCCTTATTACATTCATCAATGTCTAGAAATAAAGAAAATAACGAGTCACAGAGTCAATAAATTATATTTATGAAGATTAGATATACGTACATTATTATAATGAATATAATTAAAGAATACTGCACACGTTTTCATTTTAAAAAATATTCTAAATTTAGGCAAAATCAGTCTGGGTATGAAATGATTTTGCATTACAAATATGTTTAGATGTATGAATATACAAATAAAATTATTATTGTTTCATATTCACTTATAACCAATTCCAAAGAAAGTTAAAAATATCAATTCACCTTGTTCACAAAGCCTTCCTGTCCATCCTGGTGCACACGTGCAAGTAAATGATCCTATGTTATTGATACATGTTGCGCCGTTTTGGCAGGGCATAGTTGCATTATTACATTCGTTGATATCTGTCATGAATGAAATAAAAGAATATTACACTTGATTAAAGAACAATATCCACATAGAAATGTTGCTTATGTTTTATTTTTCCCTACCTTGATCGCATAATTTTGCTGTAAAACCCGGATAACAAGCACATGTATAGGATCCTGGATTGTTAACACAAGTTCCATTGACACATGGCGAGGTTAGACATTCATTGATATCTGTATTAAGAGAAAGAAAGCAATTATATGATAAAGCATCAAAAAAGCAATTAAAATAATAAATGCACAATGTAAATTTCAAAATTAAGTTACCGTTCTCGCAGTTGACTCCCGCGAAACCAACTGTACACACGCATGAGTATCCACCATATTTTTCAACACAACTTCCTCCGTTTTGGCAAGGTTTCCACTTACAATCATTATCTTAAATTTGGAATGAATTACTTAATGATGTTGTATTATCTCAGGAATGAAAAAAGGTAAAATAGTACTGCTATAGCAATGATAGAGGGCTATATGGAAATAAAGATGTTTATTTACCGTCCGCAATTACGTAAAACCAAACACCATGTTCCCCTGCATGAAAACATGAAACTTTCAAACTGCAGTACATGAGATAACAAAATGTCACCAATAATATGTAAATTCACTGTATATAGATAAAACCTGTGTTTCCTCGAAAATTGCTCATGCTGAATGTATCATCTTTGAATGAATGAAAATTGCTAAAAGTCTGCACATTCGTCTTATATCCAATGGCTACCCTATGAGAAGTATGGGATGGATCAACATCTACATTCATGTAGTTATACACAGCGTATGTTGTAACAAAATCCGTCATTAGAATGCACTGTATGGTTATACGCTGAAATAAGGATTGTAATTTACCGATTTAACTTGCTTTTAGATGGATTTCAAACTCCGACCTAAAATTAATTAAAATAATGCATAATGGGAAAGGAAAAAGAATTACGTCATCATCAGCAAAATCCACTACTTTCGTGTTCCACCAAGTGACCACCAATACCCATTTTGCAGAGAAATGTGAAATTCCACTGTTATAAAGGACATCGTAATCTGCCTTTGAAATGATAGAATGGTCGAATGGATTACTGGCTTCGTATGTTTTGTAGAAGACATATCCATTATTTCCTGCATTTGGCAGTAGATCCGTCCAGTAGGGAGCCAGCATGTCAGGTCCTGTATAATTCTTCTGAGGATTGGGGGAACTGTTGTTGTTTCCAAAAAGTATTTGTCCATTTGTGCTAACCTTGATCAAGAGAAATTCGTGTTTGAAACAAAATCAGAAGTATTTTTAAAATTAATTAATAAATAATGAATATTTTGTTCTGCCAGTCCATGTTCCAAGTAAAAAATTTTTATGATTTTTTTCAATCCTTAACGGTTACCGATTGAAAGTTTCAAAAGCTTCGTATTTGGTATGATCAATTTTACTGTTGCAATCCATTTATTAAGCCAAACAATGTACGATTAGAAATGGCAGTTACAACTTCTAATTTATTATCATTTGTAATTAATTATGAGATGAGATGAGACAAGTAATAAAATTTTATAACATGGCTTATAAAAATGTTAGGAATGTTCCTTACAAATACATATGTATGCGTTTTATTGTATCCAATTGGTATCCCTCTTCCAACACGTATTGCTGTACTTGCGATGTCATCCCCAGAAATGCTGTTCGATAGAGACCCGCGTGGGTAGGTGTAGTGCACTGTGTAGATAAGGAAAACATACACACATCGTACTTTTCTATAAGAATTTAAATATATAAAATTTAATGTAAATAAAAACAATTTTCTTACATGAATCCCTCACAAAAGAACTCTGGGATTTGTGCATCTTCGACTGTCCGTACATATACCTAAAAGAAAAAAAAGAGAAGAAAGAAAAAAAATTCTATCAAAATAAAAATTATAAAATGATTATTGTAGCTAAGACTATGTGAGAACTTTTTCTAACCTCTCGGTGTCTGAAACACAAATGCAGCTTTTGAGTACACCCAGGATCATGGAACAGTACAGAAAGAACATTGTATTCAATTCTTTAAAACCCGAACTATTTCCTGAAACCTCTCCCGCGACTTAATGCAAGAAAGCGATAAGAATATGTTAGCAGATTTTATCAGGTCGTCGCATTGCACAGTAGATTAAATATTCTTGCTTATAATTAATTCGAACGCAAGCCTCTTTTGAAGGTTCCGATACTTATTGTAGTTATGGAATGTGGACTTATTTCATCAAGGACTTCTAGAAAATATTCTTTAAAATAAAAAGATATTTAACTTTTAATTTGCGAATTTCTATAAGTGAAAAATATATAATATTTAGCAAAATACACAAAAACATTTATTGTAATCGTAACTAAACATTTATAATTGTTCCATCACAATTAATAATGCATATGTACTTTCGGTTGTCTTTGTAGAGTAAACAAGAGGTGCAAGGTGCAACTGATAAGAAATTAAAGAAGGAAGAAATGCTTGAACAGTGTTCTATTTTCTGAAGATTAACAACCAACCGTTTCTTGGATTTCTCTCTTTATAATTTAAAATAAGAAATGGTTTCTTTTATAACTCTTGGTCATCTTATCGTTTTGCAATTCTTCATATGTATACCTGAAATTGGAGCGATGTAAGTAAACGTTAAAATACTTTTTTGTATATTATATAACACCATGAAAAGTAGCTGAGGGGGCAGTTTCATGGAATGCTTAAAATGTAATGGCACGTGATGACGTAAATTCGTGTATTTTATCGTATCTACCGAAAAAATATGACTCCCTCCATTTCTTATAATGAGCTAGTATCCTTATTTTAATTCAATTTATATCCTGGCTTCCTGTAAAAAATGTAAATGTAAAAACTATAAAACAAATCCAAAAAGGAAAAATTCACTATTCTCTTTATTTTTTATTAGCAACAAACAAAATCACAAGACTCGATGGAATCACAATAGAATGACAAACACAAATCAAAAAAGAGTTCAATGTAAGTAGAATTATTTTTTTTTATACAGACAAACAAACATTTTTATTCTATATATCATTTTTCCTGTTTTTACAAGAAAAAATGAATTAAAGTTTTATGTTTTTCTCTTGTTTTGTGCGTTGACAATCGTTTTTTTTTTTTTTTTTTTTGTTTAATCACAATATACAAATGATATATCTTCTAAATGATACTTCAGTGAATAAATAATAAGAGATTAATGATAATGTAACATTTCTAGTGAGTTATATTTTCCCCAGAGGAGGAAACATAAGCTACGAAGGAGATGATTACACCCATAGTTTTACATTTCTATCGTCAATTCCATTTGGATCAGAAAAATATCCGCATTTGTATGTAAGTCAATACTTTAATATCTTGAAATAAATATAAGATCGAATGCATGCAACTGTTTATTTTTAATACATAATGCTTAGAAAATAATATTAATTATCCTTTCAAACTGAAATATGATATTTTGTAAATTTTGAATTTACCAGGTGGTAGTAAATGCAAAATGTACATGACTTCCACCCGGTAAATTCAAAATTAAAATTTTTTTTTTTTTTTTTTTTTTTTTTTGCTTTTTATAAATTATTTATTACATTGAATTTCTTCAAAAAAGTTAGAGCATATGTTCCCTATGTATCATTGCAGGCCTGCTCAAACGGTTTTGTGTCTACGTACTCTGATACAACCTATACTCCGAATAACTTTTCATACCTAGAGCTGGCGCCATACTGGACAGATTTAGAGCAACGGAAGGACGAAGGATCAGCAATGTATATTACGATGTACAGACATACTGTTCCAGACAATACTGACACACTGAGGAAGGCAACAGAACTGGTTCTTCTTCACTCTAGCAATCCACATTTCTCAGCTAAGGAAGTCATGGTAGTCACTTGGTGGAATTCAAGGTTTTACCAAGCTCCACAATCCACAACGAATGCATGTGAACTTTACATGTCTTTCTTTTGATGTACCACTAAGTTGAATATATTTTCAATGTTACAATTTTTACCATTTCATTAAAATTAAGATTTATCAAACTTCATTTTTGAATAATGTATCTGGAACTGTTATCATGAAATACACGTAAAACTATGTATTTTTACAAATTTAATGAAAAATTTTGAATTCGATCCAACTTTTAAGAAATATTATATATCATATTATAATAAACTATTAGCTCAATAACATAGTTAACATGTGTGCTCCCTCTTTTTCAGCGAGTCTCAATACAGTGTGTAATAATGACGGATTATATTACGTCATATGCATTGTTTAACTATATCAAAGTTGATGTGAACGATACTCACGGGCATCAGATTTACACAGGATGGAGTTCAAACATAAAAAATGTTACAATGTCATATTCTTTAACAGACAATGCTATGAAAATGGGAAATTTTCGAGGAAACACAGGTATCATAATTTTTTTTAAATTTATTTGTTTATAGAAAAAAATCATGCATATATTCATTGATTTACAAATTGTCTGTAATATTACTAGTAATTGCTGAAATTATTATTAGTTTATGCCACACATAACAGCGAAATATGCACACTTAAGATATATTATAATAACAATTTCACAATTTTTAAAGAAAAATTAATCTTTTATGTATCCTAATTTTAATTTTTTGAAATACATGACATGTACTCTTTTGAGTTTAAAATCCATATCACTATACACTCGTCATGTAGATGTGTACTACAGATATATATGTGTAAGTATATATATACTATATACTGCAGATATGTATCAAATATTTGATAAGTAAAAGTGGAAAATCTAGAATAAAGTTATTCATTTATTATTATCGTTTTAGGTGAAAGGGGTATCTGGTTCTATGAAATTGCTGGAAATGCATGTAAGACCCATAAATTTTCTTCAAACTTGAATTCATTTACAAAGAGAAATATAATCATTATTATTTTAATTTTCCTATTTTTCTTCTGGGGCATGAAGTAAAGGTGGTTTTGGATGTTTTTCATGCAAAACAACATTACAACCTGGGTTTTTTTTATGAGCAGATGAATCATGTCATTCGAATCCATGTAGATCGAGAGGAACGTGCACAGCAACATATGGTGGATACATGTGCACGTGTCATCCGGGATATTCGGGTACAAATTGTGGATCAGGTATGCAAAACCATTTAACCATCGGCATTTTTGTATCACATCAAAAGTATTCTCGATCATCTTTATAACAATCACACTTATTATGTGTGTTTCTTTAGATATCAATGAATGTTTAGCCAATGTTCCTGTGTGTAAGCACGGGACATGCAGTAATAATTTTGGATCATATTCGTGTACGTGTGATCAAGGCTGGAGGGGTCAAAACTGTGACCAAGGTTTGTACATAAAAGACAAATGTTACGTTTAAATATAATATTTACAGTAAGAATGCCTTGAAAAAATCAAAGTGAACAGTGCATTATGACTGTACATATTTTCACAACAGATATAAATGAATGTGTGACGTACTCACCTGCGTGTTATAATGGCGGCAGTTGTGCAAACCAAGATGGCTCTTTTTCGTGTCTGTGTGCAACAGGCTGGACAGGAAATAGATGTGAAACAGGTATAAGTCATAAAGAATTTCAAAAACACACTGAACAAAATTTATATATTTGTAAGCTTTGCACTTTAAGAAATTCAAAACTATCTTTAACAATTTATGGATAAGTTTTGAATTTCTTAAATTGCAAAATCTTAATTGTAACATATTTAATTACTCCTTAAGCGATCTAATTGTTGGAATTTTACTTTGTCTGCCTATTAATAATAGCAGGCGATGCTGCCAACTTCTAAACATTGATTGGGCAATTGATCGTCAAATTATCTGAAAATGAGAATGTTATAATTTTAGATTTTAAGAATAAGAAATTGATTTTGAATTTCAAATGAAGATATAAATGAATGTTCAATGGGCACATCAAATTGTTTCCATGGAAGTTGCGTGAATACCGATGGGTCCTACAGATGTTCCTGCAACCTTGGCTGGTCAGGTCATTTGTGTGACGTAGGTAAGACAAACAGGAAGTATCTGAAATATATGAATGTCATGTTCTTACTTTGCAACGAATATAATTGTTTTCAATTTTGATAAATCGTTTTAGTCTAAATTTTGCAAAAGTTGAAGAATTTATTTTTATGAAACAATGAAAAAAAGTGATATGAATAAATAATGTAAATAAAACATAAACATAGATAGAATATGATAAAGTAGTATAGTCGTATTATTTAACAATATATGCTTTTACGATCGATGTTTCAGGTAAAATTTCTTGTTCAATTTTTTTTTTAGATGTGAACGAATGCATCAATCATCCTTGTCATAATAGTGGCACATGCAGCAATACTATTGGTTCTTACACGTGTTCGTGTTCTCAGGGGTGGGTTGGACATCGTTGTGAACAAGGTGATTGAGAAATAGCTACAGAACTATAGGATAATGGTTTTATATTTTAGTCGAAAAAATAACACGCTACAGTTCTGTAGCTAAGTAAGAACATATTGTTTTACACTGGAAACGTAGTGATTTTTGCGTCTTTTGCAAGATTATCTCACTCATATGAAGCGTACCTCACATATGACCGGTGATGGTATTATTGATTTTAAAAAAAATTCTGCATGGCACTCAATTGAACAGTGACGATTATTTATCACTTCAGATAAAGTTAACATTATCAAAGTACATTTTAATATACTTTGTCCATCCGTCTTTCTGTAACGCTTTTTTCCTCACGATATCTCGACAACCCTTTGAGCTTTTGCAATGAAAGAGAACATAACAGAATACCTGATGTTTTAGGAAGACCCCTTTTGAATTTGGGGAAAGGTCAACATTCAAAGTCGTAAAGAACTAAAATGATTGAAATTCCGCCTATCTATAAGTCAATTCTCAAAAGTTAACATCTTGTGAATGATTCTCAAAATTTTTATACATATTTATATTAATTTTCATAAAACCTTACTTATTTGGGATACCAAAGAGAGATAACTCTATAATTTTGGCAAAACTTGTGTTTTCCACTATAGAAATCAACGGAAAACTGAAAATATTTTTTAAACACCCCCCCCCCCCCCCCCGTGAAACAAAAATTCCTTTTTACAGATAATATGGACTGTTATTTTAAAAATTTATGCCAAAGCTTTTTGTGTTTCACGGGGGGGGATATGTTTATAGACAAAAAAAATGCTTATTTTTCACCAATTTTGAAGCTATTTAAAACTAAATAATTGTATTTTATTAATTTAATATATATGCTTTATTTATTTGCGTAAAACATGAGAAAAGATATTAGATACATGTTAAATGAACAATTCCTACGAAAATATCATGTAAGTTAAATACCTGGAGGTTAACAGAGAGATTATCAGATATGGTATCTATGGCAGACAGGTACTTAATATAATTAAATGTAATTAATGTAATTAATATTCTGATTTTCCTGAAAATGAACATATATAGACTTTGAGATTTAAAAGAACAAAATGTCGATTTACTACAGACTCCCTTGTACAGTGCTTATATTGTATTTAGAATGCTCCTTTATTCAAATATCATGATTGACACTTAAGTTTACGAGTTATAGAAATAGATACATCTGGGTGGGAATGATAAAGAGTTGAGCTGATAGACCTTAATTCAGCCAGTCTTTTCTTCGTTGTCCGTTTCTAGGTTTTCTTCAATCCATCAGTTTTTAGAAAGAAACACATCAAATAAGGGCACCGCAAAGCGGAGCATTCCTTCCCAAAAACCATGTTCAGTAAATCAAGGCAGCATTTGACATCGATCGCGATACAAATTACATCAATTCCACACAGAAAAAATAACATACACATAAAGTAATAACACACATAATCGCATCACTATATCCCATCATACGTTGTGAGGGGATAATACTGTTGTCTATTTCTAAAATATGTCTAATTCCTTTTGTTTCATGAAAATTTTTTCAAAGTGCGTTAAATGTTTACATGGTGTAAAATTATGATGTACAGTCTTAACGCACTTTGAAAAATTTTTTCAAAGTGCGTTGATTTGGTCCCAAATTCAACTCACTTTGAAAAAATTTTTCAAAGTGCGTTAACCTGGTCCCAAAAATTAACGCACTTTGAAAATTTTTTTCAAAGTGCGTAATTTTTCAAAGTGCGTTGTAACAGAGCACATTGTTTTACATTGGAAACTTACTGATTTTTGCGTCTTTTGCAAGATTATTTCACTAACATGAAGCGTACGTCAGATATGACCGGTGATGGTATTATTGATTTTAATTAATCCTTCAATCGAGACTCATTGAACAGTGATGATAATTTATCACTTTGGGTAAAGTTAACATTATCAAAGTACATTTTTAACAAACTGTGACATGCTAAAAATTATGTTTTGCTAATTTTTTTTCTTAAATGTTCAAACATATTTGGGCGGAAAAAGGAGAAATAAGAACATCTAAGTTCACATGAGACATGAAATGTGGATTGGTATAACGAATTTCTTAAAGAAACAAAATGATTGAAATTTATTTTAGATGTTGACGAATGTCAACAAAGCCCTTGTGTTCATGGACGCTGTACCAATACACACGGGTCCTATCAATGCAGCTGTAATTCAGGCTACACAGCTCACAACTGTGATAGAGGTAAATCGTCTAAAGAATCCATTGTTTTGATATTACTTTACCTTAAACTCAATAATTTATAATCTAAGATAAATCTGCTGCTCAGTTTGAAACCCTCATATACATTGAAATTTCATAATTATAAAATTTTTGAGATCATGTTACAATATAAGTGGATGTAAAACAAATTTGATGATGATATTCATAAGGACCTTAGAATTTTAAGTAGCTTCATGCAAAACCTTAATAAAATTTGAAAAATTCATACCTCAGTTTACTCTTCAACTATTCATTTATTAATACATCGTACATTTAGATATAAATGAATGCCTTACATTTTCTCCTGCCTGTTATCATGGTGGAACTTGCACAAATTCGGATGGGGCATTCCGTTGCGCATGCCCAGCAGGATGGACAGGTCACCGATGTGATCAAGGTTTTTATTTTACATGTATACCGTTATGATCTTTTGCAAGCAAAACAGTTACTTTATTTTAATAAATAAACTTCTGGTCTGTAGAGTATGTATCATTTTGTTATTGTATAAAACAAGCCCATGTAATCCTTTGGTTTGATAGAAGAAATTCAATTTTCTTAATTTACCTTAATTCCACAAGTAGGCTCACTGTGTATAATTATTTTCATTTTAGATCCATGAACAGAGCCCTTTATATATAATGTATTTATTGTATTAATTGTATTAATCATATATGTATTATATACTCACCATTACAGATGTAAATGAGTGCAGGGTATCGCCTTGTAACAATGGAGGAAGTTGCTATAATACACAAGGTTCCTTTAGATGTTCCTGTGCATTAGGGTGGACTGGAGCAGTGTGTGAAAACGGTACAAAAATCTACAATGAGATTACGGACTTCACACTGTATATAATTTAAAGTTAATATACGTAAAATTAAGTTATCAAATAACAATTCAAAAGTCATGGACTTGTACTTGTACTCATTGCAGGTAAGTAAATTTTGAGTTTAAGTGATGTTTCGATTCTTTTCTGTATATTACTGTGAACAATGAAAGTCAATTAAGAAGGTCTGTAAAGTATTAATTAAAAATGATTGAAACTAAGTACGACAATGATTTTTTTTTTTAAATTGACGCAATTTTGAGTTTATTCAAGTTTGAACAGAACGTTGTATCTGTGACAGTGATAACAACGAAAACCATAAAGTATAGATTAGCAAAGAAACTCGATCGCAATAAATATCAAAACATAATTGTTTTATAGATTGATTTACATGCATACAAACATACTGTGTCACATTTCTTCCAAATGTCTTCCATACATTCTACATTTGCCAGAGGAAAAGATTTTTGAAACATTTTTAGCGAGAATGTAACACAGTATATACAGCTTGATTTCATTTGAATTTTAGTATACGTATATAAATTAATGTACAGGTATATTACTGTAATATATATGCAATTCTGCATGGTCTTTGGCATAGTATTTGACAGACTATGGATCCTAATTTTACAATTCCATTCTAAAACCGAACCAAAAATGAGAGAATTCTTGGGACAGAACATTCGTTACAGATATTGATGAATGTTCTGTACTATCGCCTGCTTGTAAGCATGGAGGTCAATGTACTAATACAGTAGGATCGTTCACGTGCGCATGTTCGGCAGGATGGACGGGGCCAACATGCAATCAGGGTAATATTTCAAGTTTTATTGTGAATAATATTAAATCATATATCATTTTCTAATTTAGGGGGCAAAAAAATGTAATGTAGAACTTGGATACATTGCCTTTTAATCCTTGCAGACGTCAATGAATGCACATCTAACCCATGTTTGCATGCTGGAACCTGTACAAATACAATAGGGTCATATAGATGTAGCTGTGCCCCAGGATGGTTAGGAAACATCTGCAATCAAGGTATGAGTAAATTGTTAAAATTAAGCTTCCATGTACAAGTCAGAAGGAATGAAGAATATGATTTTCTTAAAAATTATACCAATATGGTTAATGTCATATCAATGTCATACTGAAATTAAACCATTTATGAAGAAAACAGGGAATTATTACCTTGTTTATACCTTTCAAAGATGTTCCAAATTGGGTTTTGTTACTGAATTTTCTAAAGTTTGTCATAAATAAAGTAGTTGCGCATTATACCAAAATATCATGTAACAAGTATAACGAAATCGCATTTATTATTTTTTTCTTATTAAAAATATTTCAATGCCATCTTTACCTGACCATTATAGATGTGGATGAGTGTAGTGGTAACCCGGCTCCTTGTCAACATGGCGGGAGCTGTACAAATAATGTCGGCTCCTTCACTTGTCACTGTCCGTATGGATGGAAGGGTAATACTTGTGACCAAGGTACAGTCTTGTATATCAAATCTTATCCTTCCAGTAGGTATTATTTTTAACGTATTCACTGTAATATACTAGTAATAAAAACATTCCATTAATATACGAATATTTTTGCAACTGACATGAACTTAGCCAAAAATGTAAAGCAATACTGGAACAAAATAGTTCTTTTATTCAAAGTACTAGTATTTTGGTGAATCATAAATACCATGAAGTTCAAATACACAGTACCTAAACATTTTCCCAACATACTTTGTTCTTATGCAGATGTTGATGAATGCTCCATCCACAAGCCTTGCATTATGTGACGGTGTATAAACACGGCGGGTTCCTATCACTGCCATTGTAACACGGGCTTTCCCTCAGCCCATTGTAATAAAGGTATGCCAGGATAGTTGTTAAAGTTGTTCAATATCATTTTGAATAATTTCATTTTTTTCCTGCTGCTTTAAAAAAGTGTCTATTATTATTCTTTTCCTGATTTTCTATAGAGTTTATTACATATATTTCTTTTCTTAGATATAGATGAATGCTTTCAGCATCCTTGCAAACATAACGGTGTTTGTGTCAATACGATATCATCCTTCATGTGTAAATGTGAGAGTCCTTGGGATGGAAATACCTGTGATATAGGTATAAATGCTTTACTGAATTTTCATTCTCGTTTAAATTCACCCTAAAAATGTCAATGAATACATAAACCTTAGCATATAATTTTTTTTTAATTAAAAAATAGAAGCAATAGACGCACTAGACCTTTTCCGTCTATTTGTATTAATAAAGTTTTCCTTTCAATTAACAACCAAAACCTGATTCCAACAAGGGCCTGAGAAAACACACATGTACCAATCTCTCGTGTACATGTCTATAATTGTCTAATTCAATATGCAACACTTTATCAACGTAGTTGACTCCAGTCGGTTAAGAAAAGTTAAACAACATACAATTAATCAATAATACAAAAGATGAAGAGGTAGAAAACTTGACTTAATCAGTTAGATACAGTATCACAAAAATCATCTTGTAAGGAAAATTTAACTTCAGGTAAAATCAGCCCTTAAAAATCACTGAAAGCTAATTAATGAACAGTTTATGTATATCTTAGTTTCTACTTGCTAGCTAACCAATTCTTAAAAAAATACTAATAATACTGCAAATGAGATACATACATGGGGAAAAAGAAAATGTTCTGTAAAGCTTCTCGCATACAACATGTACTTGAACTAATGCTATATCAAATATAAGTGTGTCTGTTATTTCCATGAAATTCAAAAGAAAAAAAAATATTTCAAACAATTAAAACTTCCTAAATTTCAGATTCAAATTTACTTGGCTGACGGGCAGACAAGAACAGCAAACTGAATTTTGTAAAAAGTCTTTTAATGCATTTGTGGTAAAATTGATATTTATATTTAAGAATATATGTACATTAATAAATTATACAAGAATTATAAGATGGGCCATCTTGGGTTGATTTTTTTTATTTTATATTGCAAAGGTCAAGTACACTCAACTCAAAGTCCTTTGTCATATAAAGCAAGAAACTGATAGTTTCTCAGATTCAGTAACTTAAGGAAATCGGATAAAATTCCATCTCGATCGATCATAGTGCACTATCATCTCTTGGATCCTTTAGTTAATTTCATCTTGGCACGACTGCACAAGTTAAGGTAAAACTGAAAACAAGCTGTTTTAAATCTCTGGTCAAATATTCCGTAAACAAAACAGTTACACACGTGATTAATCAGCAGCAATCTGACACTGAGTCGATACACCACAATTCCAGGATCCGCCAGGAAATTCTGTAGATCATGACCTAGTGTCAACAGAAGTCCGAGAGTGACATACGGCAGATAGGACACGATGAAAATGACGGTTACACAGAAAAGAACCTTGGTTGCTTTTTTATTATCCTGTGAGGTAGGTCGCCCGAAAACAGTTCTTTGTCTTGATAATATTTGATAAAATCTTTTATGGCCTATACTTTTGAGTGAGTGATGTTTAACCCGGCTGAGTTTCTTGCAAGAGAAGCATTCAAGGCAGCAGCATTTCTTGTGTGAAGCTCTGAGTCTGACGCGATTTTTGGGTAGCATCAATGACGTCATCATCATGTGGACCTTAGCTCGCTTCCTTGTGGTGATTCCAATAGAAATGTAAGTGAATAGCAAAACAACTAAACCGCAAACAAATACAAAGTTTAGAAACAAAATATAAACCACAGGAAGGACGTATTCCGTACCCAATTCGTTTTCAATGAAGCATATCCTTTTTGTCGCGTTTTCTGATACTTTGACGGTTTCGAGACCAAAAAGAAAAGGCACTGGAATAGACACGATGATAGCAAGAAACACACAGAATTTGATCATTCGTTTGGCACTGGAGACTGACCACTGATTTCTCATTGGATGGCAGACGTGGCGATAACGGTCAACTGCTATCAGGATCAGGATAAAAATTGACGCAAGGGTCAGTATGGATTGGTTTGATCGGAACAATTTGCATGTGACAGAACCGTAGAAATCGTAAGGATAAAGAAGGTCCAGAATTTCCAGTGACATGTGAACAGAACACATCAGAAAGTCGATTACGGCAAGAGACAGAACAAATATTACGTAATTACTGTTTTTCTTGAACTGGGTTGAGAACACTACCAGAACATGTATGTTGCCAAAGAAACCTACCACCATAAGAATGGCTACGTATGTGACGACCGGCTTTTGTCCCACGTTGGATTTGTCAAAGACATCGTCTGCTTCCTTATGCATGATTTCATCCATCTTTGCAGAGGTTTTGTTCAGTAATCATCAAGGATTTATAGACTAGTCTGGAAAGTAAGGACACATATTGTAATTTACCAAATTAAACTTTGTTCCTGAGCTGTTTGTTACTTTCTAGATAGTAAAGCTTTAATAATTAACACATTTACAAAAATGAACAATTAATGCGCTTACCTCATCTTTAATTTGATAATCCAATAAAAAAATCGTTATCATTTTAGGGAAGTTTGGTTCTTTAAGCTGAACAAATTAGGCCTGTGTGCGATAAATTGTTTTATTTCTTTTTTTCATTATTATTTTCTGTGTATTCAGCTGTAATAAATTTTATGTCCCCATCTTCAAACTGACAGATATCAATCTCCTGCAGAAGGAATCTGGTTCGATGGATGGTTGTGAAGGAGGTTGATTGACCAATTATCGTCAAATATCAATAACTAGACCACTGTCATCGAGTCGATCCGAAAAGCAATTGAAAGAGCAATAAAAATTATAATAACACCCTAGGTCACCATAGAGAACAAAGCATAAGGATTAAGTAACTGAATTTTGACATCATTTACAGTTTGTTTTTTTTTAATTAAATGGAATTTACTTCCCTTATCATTGGTCATTTGCAACAGTACATGTATTTTGTTAAAAGCACAATTACTATGAAGTTGATATCATAAAGGTGCTTGAGATTCTGAATATCTATTTACTTTTAGATCAGAACTTCAAACAATCAATTTTCCATGAGTACCCACTGCGCCTCGTTATTAGCAGTTCTATTTTTTGTATTCACATGAAGCAGAATCCATTCAAATTCTAGAAATGAGGAAAAAGATAAGACTTGCTGTGACCTTTAACGCCACGTTAAGAGAAATCGACGACGTATTATCAATTAAGTTAATTAACAATAGTAAAGTTCTACATTCATTTGTGCAAGTGAGCTTGAAATAAAAGATACCATAGAGTCTGCCACATCTGTATTAATAATAATTTACTAGCAAAAAATGTTAATGATAAACTAACAACAAAGTCTTACGAAAAAACGTGATGACTTTAACTCTTCAATTGTCATTTCCCTTACTGATATAGCAATATCCCTTATCACAAGCTGCTTTTGCAGGAGATTTATGTCTCTATTAATTCTATAAGCAAAAGCATGCTCTATGCAAGAACAATATCTAAAACGAGGCAAGCTTTTGACAAACAAGTTGACGAAACAAGAATATCAAGTCTCATTTAAAGACATCATTTTGCAAGTGCTATGTTTGATACGATGGATTTGTCAGCAAATACAATTTATCCTAAAATTCAAATGGTGACAGAATGTTTTCATATCAATTGTTAGTTAGGTCATTATTTACACACTCAATTGTCCAAGGATTTTCCCTTTTTTGTTATAATTAGTTCATTATTTATACACTGAATTGACGACGGATTTTTCCGTTATATCCCGATCTTGACATGGAGCACATGTCGGGTGCTAAAAAGGTGTGAGAGTCCACACATACCGATCCCCACCGCCATGTGCTCCTTGTCATGATGGGGGAACATATGGAGATAACGAACAGAATTCAATCTCAAAGTCCATAAAACAATACAAAATAGGAGCAGAGCAAACACGGACCTCCGAAACATCAGAGGTCGGATCAGGTGCCATGGAGGAGTGAGCATACCCTGCCAACCCGATCTGAACTGTGTGCTAGAGGTCTGCGTTTCTTTCTGATCCTGATTTGCATTGTTTAAATGAACTTTTGAGTTTGGATACTTCTCTTTATCGTCATATTTATTAATTCAATGCAAATAAGTCAATCTTTCACTCTAGTCAACTCAGCATTTGACCGAGATCACTTATATTTAACAATCATTCTAGCTAAAGCAACTGCAATACAGCAGCACTTCTAATGAAATATTTTTGGGGTAAATGTGACTTACCTGGGAACTCACATCATACTGAATCAAGCGAAATACACAGTGTAGTAACTAAACGGTTGCTATTAGAAGAATTGCACGTACATTACTGCTTTCTGTAAGTTGTGCAGTTGCTGCTGGAAAAAATGAACGAAATTTTATGTATTTTTCTTCACTGGCACACCAAAATGGTCAATAATCCAATTATTAAAGTTAAGCTGCTAGGTATTTTACTTCCATTTCACAATCATTCCAGCCAAAGTAACTGCAAGACAGCAGCACTTCCAATGAAATTTTTTTGGATACATTACTTGCTTAGAAATTCACATCATACTGAATCAAACCAATATTAAACAAATGTTCATCTGTTTATTTCCATTAAAAAGTGTACACGTATACATAAAACTGTATATTCTGAAATAATATAAAAATATTTTTTATAAACAAACAAAATGTTCACAGTTTAATGATTGGAAACAAAGTGAAAAACTAAGATAAACTATCACAGAGGGTAAATGATGGTTTGATCACAATCTGATTAAATCAGATCCTTTGATCCATTCAAATGGATCCTCATAAGGATCTGAAGAAACCCCAATCAGGGACATCTCCTGGTGACCTTTCAACTATCCAATCAAATGTTTTCTTCTTAGAATTTAAAAGTATCTAGAAATTTAGTTACAGAAGTGAAAGCTCTGATGATAAACAAACATTAAAAAAATGACCTGGTTTCCATAGCCTCTCAAAAGAACAACCACCGTTTTTTCTGTACAGAAAAAATATAAAGTATTTGATTTTTGCCTATTTGTTTTGTACAATATGACAAGATCTCCTCCACATTGCTTTCACCTCTATATTCATTTTCCCGAATGTCTCTTAAGTACGATCTCTCTGATTGGTCAGAATTTAATGAATATTTTTATTAGAAACCTCACCTACAGATGACCCTGAATGGGGTTTCTTCAGATCCTTGTGTAGGGATCTATGAGAGCGGATCAAAGGATCTGATTTTAATCAGATTGGTTTGATAATCAATGCAAGCTACTCTGTAGGTCTGAGTAAAGTCTTCTGTATAAAATGCATGAAAATGTTTATGTACCAAGACATCATAAATCTCCTTCAGTTATAAAATACAATAAATATTTCTCACACTTAACAACATTTTTTGGTCATCAGTATTATTATTTAGATTAACTGATTAAACGACAAATGATTATTTCATAGAACACTTCATTTGAAAATATTTTCTAATGCAAAAATAAGTACCTGTGACATTTTGAACAAAAAAAAAGCACCATAAAAAATTTATAGTAAAAGTTGAATCAAACATCATAAAACATAGGTTATGTATCTTCATTTGAGAAGATGATATGTGGATTTCCTATTTCTTAGTGACAAACCACATTGTCCCTGAATGAATGGAATGCAAATGTCTACACATTCTGTGATGTTTAAAGATATGAAAATAGAATAACAGAAACTGATCAGTACCCTGCTTTAAACTTTAAAATTTACAACCAGCACTTTTGCAAATTTCAAGTAGAAAATATTAAAAATCAGTTCCTGTCAATTTCTTTGGTAGGATCATATCCTACCATCCTTCTCTATAGGATAAGATTATACCATCCTATTCCATGGTAGAATCAGATCCTACCCTTTTTTCTCCTCATTAGGATCAGTTCCTACTATCCTTTGTCAAGGTAGGATCAGATCCTACTATATTTCTCCTTAGTAGGATCACATCCTACCACTTTTCTCCTTTGTAGGATTAGTTGCCACCAGCCTTCTCTACAGTAGGATCAGTTCCTGCCATCTCTCTCCTTTGTAGGATCTGACAAGGTGTAGGCTGGTTTATACCTCAACACTCCATGATCATCAATATACTGTAACAGTGGATTGGGATGGGTGTTGTTCATACTACCTAAAGAGGTATATCTGAAAAATAAAAATTCCAAAAAATTATTTGTTTATAAAATACTATGACCTGAACAAGCTGAAAATCTGATAGGGCAAGACCATATAAAGCATGTGACAAATGAAATTAATAAAAATCTTCTTTAGCTTTTGCAACTTGTGCATACTGCTGAGCAAAAATAGAAGATGCAAATCAATTTTTGGTACAGTGGCTGGAACGTTATTGTTGACAAACTGATCGTGTAGAATCGTTCGTGTATCGTGAGTGATCGTTCGTGTAACGTGCAAGATCGTTCGTGTATCAGACTCAATCGTGTGCGTTTTTTATCGTGCGAGATCGTGCATTTAGAATCGTGTAAATTTCGTTTTGTAAGTTTTTATCGGAATGTTATTTGTCAAATAAGCATTTCCCTTGTCTGTTTTTCTTAATTTATTAATTAAAATCCAAATAAAATGAAAAAGCGCAATTTACATAATAGAATGCAGAACGAACTAATTATCACCCGTAAACAAGCAATATAGTAAGTCGTACAATATTAAGTTCTCGTCAAATAGCGCGATCAATATTGTGATAAACCGTACTTAGATCTTTAACGTCTTTTTGAAAAATCTGATTTTAATTATTATTTACTTCTTATTGTGGTCAAGATAATCTTGAAATCAATTCATTGAAAATAAATTTTTTTTTTTTACAAAGAAATAAACATTTCTCAATGCTTACATAACTAGTTAGTCGACAATTATACATGGACACGGCATGATTTTCGGGAGTTTTGATTTTCTGTGTTTATCTCTTGAGCCTATTTGTAATTAATTAATTTTAAATTTCTGCAAATAAAAAAGTTGAATAATTGGCAAGTTTATCAGACATTGAATCATTGGAAACATAAGGATAAGATTTGTAATTATGATTTAAGTCATTCCATGCTGCCACTTTTGTTCAATCGTATCCCCCTTTCTGCATATCATGATATCCGATTTAATCAAATTATACGACCCACATACATGTACATCGTCTAATAGAATGAACAAAATCCGTTTTTTTTTTTTTATCGGAGAATTACCTTAGAAATAATTATTTTCAATCTAAAATATTAAGTCTTGCATATATTTAGTTACAGAAATATCATTTTCCGTTTTTTTTTCAAAGTCTATGAAATAATATTAATAATTCTTTGAAATCTTAGATAAGTATTAAGCCTTATTGCGTTTTGAAAATATCAATTCCTAAATATTTTGAACTATTTTGAGTGAAGAATCGTGCGTTTGCGTTAACAATCGTGTAAGATCGTGTAACGTGTAGAATCGTGAACGTGAAAGATCGTTCATGTAACAGGTTTAATCGTGCGTTAATCGTGCGGAATCGTTCGTGTAACGTGATCGTTCGTGTAAGTTGTCAACAATAACGTTCCAGCCACTATACTCAATGCTTTTTGTCAAAAGTGTGAAATATGAAATAAATTCACTTACCCTCTATCATATAAACTACAGTAAGGTATATTTAGGTCTCTAAGAAACTTCCATATATGTCTATAAGACCAGTTTAAAACAGGATTCACCCTCATAAACTGTGGCCAATCAGAATCGGTCATACTGAAGGCTTGTAAATGACCTAAAAAGATGAGATAAAGCTAGTAAACAGAGGAATAAATAATTTAGTAAAAGAGCATCCTTTTTTAAACAATACACAGCAAGACAACAAGAAAATTATGAGAAGGGTATTTAGAAGAACTTTCTGTCATAAAAGGCATTTCCCATCAGACAAGACAAAACAATCATTATGTCTTTAATTATAATTTTCATATTGAATACATGTACTTTCTACTCAAAATCACTATAACAATGCAGTATATTGCAGTCTGTAAATCTACATACTTGAGTAAGGGTCTGTAATCCTGGTGCCCATTATCACAGCTTTGATGTCAGAATGCTTATCTTTCAGCTGCTGGAGACTGTCTTTTATACGGCCCTCAAAATGCAACATCTCAAGTCGATACCTAAAATATACAACATCTCAAGTCATTATCTAAAATATACAGCATCTCAAGTCAATACCTCTAATTTACATGATCTCAAGTAGATACCTGAAGTATAAAACATTTCAAGTCGATCCTAAAATATACAACATCTCAAGTTGATACATAAAATATAAATCTCAAGTCAATACTAAAAATATAAATCATTTCAAGGTAATACCTAAATTATACATCTCAAAATGATACTTTTTTCATTAGATCTCCAAATCTAATGATTACATGCAAAAAATTGTAGAGGCAAGATGAAGTGGGTTGGAAATAAACTTTGTACAAAGGAAGAAAATTTCATTTAAATAGAATTTTTACAGGCAAAGTCAGTGATATCACAGCATTCTGGCTATGAACTAATTTACAAAACACATATTTCATCAATGAGCAGGTCTGGTTTTAAAAAAAGTCAAATGCTGGATGATTCTAGTGTTTATTCACAGAAATTTTAAAAATATGAATGAAAATTCAAAGAAAAATTATTCCACATACTTATCTCGTGATAACTGTGTAAATTTTTCTTCCTCAGGAAATGGGAGTCTGCTCTTGATATACAAAGCTTTCAGCCTTCCTTGAAAATCGGGATACTTTCTGAAATAAAAATAGGAAAACTTGTATTTTCAAAGCCAACTTCTGAATCCAATGTTTTCATCCAATTGTCATTGCCAAAACCCCCAAATGCTGTTATTGTGTTTAAAGGAAATAAAAATTTGTTACATACCTTTTCACAACTGCATAATAAATGTGAAGTAAGACTGTGCAATCTTTTCCTCCATTGAAGCCAATACATATTTCATCTAAACTGAGGAAAGTAAAATAATGTTAATACATAAGATTCAATTTCATTCAGCATTATTTATTTCTTTTTCCAACATGTTATTGGCTTTTTTTCAGGTTTTGCTTTACTCGAACATTCATTATTTATAATTCACATTTTCTTTGCAGTATCAGTATTCATTACAGCAATGAATTGCAACCACATGATAAATGAGAAAACCATAGAAATTTAAGTATATAAGTACAGTATATCAATGACACTTTTTTCAATATACACTTCATACAAAAAATAACCCCATATTAGGAATACAAACCACTAGTACTATAATCCAAACACTGTTTAGTACCTGTATTTTTCTAGACATTCCTCTAATACAGACACAGCCTCTTTAACACAGTTTCTGTAATGGTCATCAGAGTTACTTGACTCGATCAAGTCATAAACTCTACGTGTTGCATTTTTGATGGGCTGGCTATCATAGTCTACAATGCTACCTGTGAACAGAAATCTCTTCTAAAATCAAACGGCTCTATCCTATACCAAAACAACCTTTTGTAAGCAGAATTTTTAGCAAGGATGCCGAGTTAGCTAAAATTGAATATCACTAAAAATTAATTGCGGTTTATTTGTAGTAACTTCTTTCATGAGCATTTTCAAATTGCTAAAATCAATTTTCACTAAAATTAAAATAGCAACTTTTAAGGAGAAATCGCTAAATTTGCCTCCCTCTAAAATTTCCACTTATATGGTATTTGTAGGCAAGTGCATGGGTCAAAGTACATATACAGTATGTATATTGAAACTTAAAAATGATCTGACTGCAGTTTTTTACCAATTCAAAACCAAATAAACAATTTTTTTTTACATACCTTCAGGTAATTTTTCTTTCAGTGAAGCAATAGCTTTATGTATTTGTTCTGGTTTACTGGATTCCAGCATCAATTTAACTTTGTAATAACTGTAAATTCAAAGATGCCAACAAAAATAATCTACTTATTAAATTTAAGTGAGGTATAATAAGCAATTCACAGATGCTAGCATTATATAGTTTTCTTTGTTACAGCTGTAGTTTTTATATTCCTGTTTCAGATTAACTTTTAAATGTTTCTGTCATAAATATACTCCAGCATCAGCTAAATTTAGATATTCATCTACAAAAATACTGGGCATTTTATTTAAAGAAAAAAAATACCAAGTGCTACTTAAATAGGAAAGCACTAAACTTACCTGTTATGAAAGTCTGGGTACGACCCTAGTGTTACATCAAGTTTAAATTCTTGGTCCACCTCATTCAGTATGGCAGCAATTGATACCTCATCTTGCTGGACAAAGATTTCTTCTGTGTAAAAATGGGCATCAGGATTCTTAAACAAATCCTACAATAAAACACAAAACAAAGCACATTCAGATAAATTCTACTCTGTATTCTTTACTGGGGCACTAAAAAATACACAATTACTGAATACCAACAAAAGCATCAGCCTTATCAAAATCAAGTGATAATAGAGGTACTACACAATGCATGTGTTTGCATATATAAAATAGAAAGATATCAGATAACCGCTTCTTTTGCTCTTTATTTCAATCAGCATTAAGTAATGCCCTCCTTTATTGAACAATTTAACTTTTTCAAAATTGGTTGGTTGTTGGATGGAGTTTAACCAAAGAAGCATCGAAACACAAAACACAGGGAAAAAGTATTCATTGTAGGTGTAAATAGACTTGAAGTTTGTACTTTTTATTCAATCGGAAAGTTCACAGACCATGAACTATATACTATTACTATAAAGGTCCCTGCTAAAATTACAGGTCTTTCTCATAGTAGGAGCTTGTTTTGTCTTTGTTAGAGGCTGTACAGAGTTGAAAAGCTATATTATATTTCTTGGCAATGGCCTATAAATAACTCCATCTAATGTAAAATTTGATTGCAAGGCGGTTTCTGTGGGTGTAAATAGACTTGGTTTGTACTTTTTATTCAATCGGAAAGTTCACAGACCATGAACTATATACTATTACTATAAAGGTCCCTGCTAAACTTACAGGTCTTTCTCATAGTAGGAGCTTGTTTTGTCTTTGTTAGAGGCTGTACAGAGTTGAAAAGCTATATTATATTTCTTGGCAATGGGCTATCAATAACTCCATCTAATGTAAAATTTGATTGCAAGGCAGTTTCTCGAGTATCCTGCTTAATATCTAGAAACCCATTGTCATGTAAATGTTGTTTTAATATTTTCAATGTATCAAGCATCCAGGAAATCAGCCATGCAAGCATCCATGACGAAGACAGAAAATGATAGGCAAGAACAATGGATAGCTTAGAACCTTCTGTAATGCGAAAAAAATATACCCTAAAGAGATTTGTATTATACTTATTAACTTTTTTAAATAAAAAAAAGGCTTTTCATGGAAATATGTTTAAAGATAATTTTAAAAATAAATTTAATAATTCTGCATAACTTACCTCTAAAGCTTTAAAAACTAAACTTATTAATTTTTTAAAATTAAAAAAAAATCTTTTCTTGAAAAAAATGTATAAATTAAAGGTAATATTTAAATTTAAAATTTATTTAAATTTTTAAGATAGTTTTCTGCATTACTGACCTCTAAAGCTATAAAACTCCTCTCCATAATGGATGGGACACCGGGGAATATATACACATTATTGACCACCACTAGAGGGAACTTATTCTTCTCTCCGGTCTTCTTGTTAACCCCATACACCAGTCGGGCCGACTTTGGAATCTAGAGGAAAAAACAATTCTTACAAACCTTTGGCTGAATTGACGATACCTAAGTCTACAGAGCTTCTCTGTTTACACAGAATGAAAAAAAGTAAATGGTCACATTTCAGCTACTGTGGCGAGGAAAAAAATGATTCAAGTAGACCACTAGGTCAATATAAGTATGACAAACCAGAAATATCATCTGCTGAAAAGTTTATCTGTAATTCTATATCCTGGTGATTCAACCATGCAAATTTTTCATATGCCCTGTTGAATGAATGCATGTCAAACTCTATATAACTTTTTATGTGACTTATATACATAGATTTCCCCCTAAGGCTGACATCACTTCCTTTTATTTTAAACACCATTTAAACATTGACAACTAACTATGGAAATTTAAGATCAAATGTTTAAGAAATAAGAAAGGAAAAAAAATTTTAAATCCATCATAGGAATTTTTCTTAGATATCATGTATATATATTTGTATCAGTTATAGGTTTTTTTTCATTTGAGTATACACTCTTTGCTTCATTTGTTAAATAAAAGGAATACATTCTAAGATTGAGAACTTTGTATCGCAATACATGTGTATTGCAATATTTTAACTTTATGCAATATATATATTGCAATATTTTCAACAGCAATTAAAATTTCCTCTTTCGGGCTTTATAAACTTCCACCTACATAAGCTAAGTGTATATAACTATTATGATATGTTGGAACAAACACGAGGCCTATGGGCCACATTGCTTACCTTAGAAAGGCCATGCAAGGTTAATTCCTTTGTTCTCAGGCCTTTTTTCAAGATATATGATGAGGGAGGGAGGCATTTTTTTTGATACTTTTTTATTGCCCCCAAAACATGACGAGGCAGCTTTTTACATTGAACAAAACGTTGCCGTGGTTACTAAAAATAGAAATTTTTGTGAAATTCTTTCAAAATGCTACTTCTCCTACAGTTTTGGTCTGATTTCAATATAACTTGGCACACAAGTAGACTACACTAAGATACATAATTCTGTGAATTGGTTTTTGATTTCAATGAACGGTGTTGCGGTTGTTACTAAAAATAGAAATTTCTGTGAAATTCTTTCAAAATGCTAGGTCTCCTACAGTTTTGGTCTGATTTCAGTATAACTTGGCAAACAAGTAGACTACACTAAGATACATAATTCTTTATATCGGTTTTTGATTTCAATGAACGGTGTTGCCGTGGTTACTAAAAATAGAAATGTCTGTGAAATTCTTTCAAAATGCTACTCCTCCTACAGTTTTGGTCTGATTTCAGTATAACTTAACAAACAAGTAGACTACACTAAGATACATAATTCTTTATATCGGTTTTTGATTTCAATGAACGGTGTTGCCGTGGTTACTAAAAATAGAAATGTCTGTGAAATTCTTTCAAAATGCTACTCCTCCTACAGTTTTGGTCTGATTTCAGTATAACTTAATTGGCACACAAGTAGACTACACTAAGATACATAATTCTGTGTATCAGTTTTTGATTTAGATGAACGGTGTTGCCGTTGTTACTTAAAATAGAAATTTCTGTGAAATTCTTTTAAAATGCTACGTCTACTACAGTTTTGATCTGATTTCAATTTAACTTGGTCCACAAGTAGACTACTCTAAGGTACATAATTCTGTATATCGGTTTTTGATTTTGATGAAACGGTGTTGCCGTGGTTACTAAAAATACAAAAAGTACAAACCAGTAGAGCTTCAGTTTCAACAGAGACTTCTGGTTATTTCATTGATTTAGCAATAAAAAGGATCAATGAGGCACCCTTAGACAAGATGAGGGAGCACCTGAGAACCAAGAAATTCATTTTTTATGGTCTAACTTTTGGTTCTTGAGAAATCTTTTTTTTTTCTTGATTATTTCCCCTTGTAAAGGGACTTGGCCTTTCAGTTTTGCTAGCGCTCTCGAGCGCTAGCAACTACCTTAGTCCAAATTCCTTGAATACGCATGCTCAGCTTCACGGTCGTGCATTCTGGGCAAACTGGGAAAACTACTATAGATAGACCGTACAATAACAATTTCATTGTATCATTAAATAACTATGTTTATTTATTGTGTAACTTACAGTTTAAAGATAACTACATAATTGTAATACTTCAAATTTCTCTTTTTACTGACAGAAAAGCCTGATTCATTATCTGATTGTTATGAACAAAGACAAGGGAGGTTTTTTTACGTCTAACCAAAGATAGACTCTAATTTCTGATTGGTCAATTCAGCCAATCTTACAAATTCCAGAAACAAGAATTTACACTAAAAACAACGAATAAATCCATTATTTATTTTTTTAAAAAATTCTGATGTGTATGGCTTTTAACCTAACAGTTCTTGACAAAGATGACCCAAAGGACCAAGCTAATTCACATCTTCACATTCGGAAATCTCTGGATTTCTTTATACAACATACACTTTGAGTTATTTTCTATATTCCTTTTAATTTCTTTGCTACATTGCTAAATTCTGTTCTTAAACCAGCTCATACAATGCTCAATCGGCATCTTCAACACATTATATAGAGTCTCCCTCCTCTCCAGTAAAGGTCATAAATGTTCTGTTGTGCCAAAACTTCAATAGATCAACACAAAAACTTCACACACGCACCCCCTTTGCATTTCTTTACATATGTGTCTATAAAATACACTTCACAAAACAATTATAACTTTATCACACTTCAGCCTTGATCAACATTAAGAATTCAGTAAAATGAATCACTTGATCATGGACCTTCCTTTCTGTGTTTAAAAAATGCTACGACGCTAGCTCACCTATCTTTTTAAAAAGAAAAACTTGTAACAATTTAAACTCCCCTTCGGCCTTCACCCAAGGATGTTAAAATTTGCCCAGTGGTTCTTGAGAAGTTGAAAATGTGAAAAGTTTACAGACAGGCAAACAGCTAGACCAATGGATGGGCAACAGACATTGGTGATTAGAAAAGCTCACTTGAGCTTTCAGCTCAGTTGAGCTAAAAAAGTTCTTGATGATTTCACAACAGTTTGCAACAAAATCCAACCATGCAACAGCTACCATAGTTTAATGTGTGGTATGATTGAAAATGTTTCTGATATCTAAAACTTTGTATTTTACTTAGGAAATCCCAAGGTTAAGCATTTTGCTAGAATATAAATGTATCACAATATGATATTGTCAACAAATTGCAATTTAACCTGAAGATCAATATTATTGTGCAGTCCTAGTATTATTCAAAGGATGGGAAAGCATGTACTGGATAGTTTTTTAGAAAACAAAAATGAAGCAAGGACCCACTATAATTTCAAAGTATACATTACTGACACGAGTTTGATATAATAAAAACTTCCATGAAAACATTTAATTGATGTCAAGTTATTCAAAAGTCAATTTATTTCAAATTTATTCACATTTAATTCTTCCAATGAGTTGCATTGCTATAGGTAACACTTTGATCTTGTTGACAAAACTTATTAAAAAATTATTTGGGAATTTTACAATAACTCACTTAACTTGTATATAGAGCATTGCATATAGGGCTGTATCAATATATCGATATATCGATACGTATCGATATTCAAGAAAAATATCGTATCGAAAAATAACTTCCAATACGTATCGGACAGACAGTTTTTCTTCTAATTCTGTTAAAAAGATGGGAATTTCAATCACCAAAGATTATATTTTTTTTATGAATTAAAACTGTTCAATAATTATATAATTTGTAAGGAAATAACACAGTTTTTATAATTATTACAAAATACAAAGAGAATTTTAGTTACACATGTTGATTTTACTGTCATTAAAAGTTTTAATTTGAAGTTTTAATTGTAATGACAATGAGACAAGAACTTTAAAATGGGTAATAAAACACTTAATTGTTATGAAATTTATGCATTAAAATGACTTAGAAGCCTTTTCTGATGGGCTTGTTCTAGAATCCAATATATCGCATATCGCTTTAAAAAATATTGTATCGTATCGTATCGAAATTTTTGGCTCAATACACAGCCCTAATTGCATATGGAAAGAAATTTTTTTCTTCACAAATCCATATGCTTTTTAACTAAATATAAGGCACTTCCTTATTACTATGAAATTATTTATTTTAGTGGGGTTTCAAATTTCATTGCATTTTCTAGGTTCAAAGGAACCCCTGAATTTATGCCTTATACTACATAAAATACAGTATCTTTTTTCTTCTTCAACAATGAAATCAAATCCATTCGATCATTACAGCATTTTTTCCTTAAACCATGAAAATTCATCCCCAAGAAAATAAGTGCTTATACAGTATACTGTAAACCAACTTTTATTCGTGTGCGAGAAATTTTCGCGAGGTTCGCTAGAGCTCCATCATCGCAAATATTTCTCGTCGCAGACCGGCCCTTAAAGTCTATGTGCCTATGAAGAACAGATCCAATATAGGCTTGATCGCGAAAATTAATTGCCGCGAACTAGTTTGTCCCCGATAAATCACAAAATAAAGTCATTGCGAATAAAAGTTGGTTTACAGTAAATATGTATCATGATGATCATAGTGATATCCTGTACAATGTATCGAAAATATTAAAGGCCGAGGTTTTCAACCGTACGGTTTTCCTCAGGTAAGTTTGGTGTGGGGTGGAGCTTAATCGAAGCGGCTGAGAAGCCCCGAGGGAACGACACTGGTTTGTGTATACTACCTATAAACACAGGATGTTACCTGAGCCCCTAAGTGTATTACCTGTATGCGTTTTCCTACAACTTTGTAAACCGAGGCCGTTTTTTTTCATGTTTAGCTCATGAATTGAAATGCGAAATAAAGCATTTTTGTTCCAGACAGAATCCTTCTCAATTTCTTTCTTTTAAAATAATTGATATTTTTAATAATTCGACATTTTTTATATACAGTGCGTTTCTTAATGAAGTGTTATAACGAAAATACATTTAGCACCAAAATCTGTCGTTGTAATCTGGCGACAAAAAGGGAAGTAATTCAAATTACACGTCGACTACGCAAAACGAAAGAAGAAAGTGAATCATAAACAGTCTCTCGGTAAATAACAATGAAACTTAGAAACGATGTTTTGAGAATAAAATGTTGAAGTAGAAATATTATTGTCTAAGTAAATATCTTTTTAAGATAAACCCTACTTGATTTTTCCATAACGCATGGTCAGTAAAAATGGCCAGGGCTTCGGACCGCGGTTGATTGCCCGACAGCTATGAAACGAAAAAAGAATCACCTGCATCATTTTTTTTCTTTCGGAATTCATTATTAATTTCAAACATTAAATACAAAGCAAGATGTTATATTCCGAGTAATTTCTCTTCTAAAACTTATTAATATACCGTAAACTTCTTCGTCACCATGTCTCGAAGAAAAGCGACACGTACAGGTTTGTCTTGCTTATAAATATATAAATTCGCTTGACTCATGAACAATGTTACAATGTTGTCATACTTATTTTAAAAAATAATTTTATTTAATTCCATGACACTAGCTTCAAACGCAGGTCGGTTAATTTTGTTAATTGAAGGAGGAATAAATGTACTTTAGCTCATTTTTTGACACGGAAATTAAAATTATCGATTGTAATCGTGATATGAAATCCTCCCTTTTAAAATCAAATTTATAATATTTATTATATAGCCATGATTTTCTTGTCATTTATTTAATAATTTGATAGATTGATTATATTTATGGTATATTCTTATGAATTAAATAAGAAAAGAACGATTTGATGGCTTCTTTATCACGCTGGCATACAGTGCGGTAGGCATCAAAAGCCTGAAAGTTAATTCCATGGTCGGTACGACCTCCAGACAAGGTACACAAGATATACACAACAGCAGCAAACTGAATGTCAATCAAATCAAAGTATCCAATCCCAGGTTTAATGTCAGATGATTGACAGAGGTTCTAATACCAGGTAAATTTGAAGGAGGTGCTTATTTCCTCCCCCTTTAAGCATGTTAATTAAGTAAGTATAAGAATTACCATGGCCAGTTTCATCTTTGGTGAGGAAAGATCCTCCGCCCCCCAGAACTGCCTACAGAGCTCCACAATGTCAGGGTGAGGGGAGACTACATCATTAAAGGCTTTAGCCACTCCTACAAGTGAAAAAAAAATTATGTTAGTAAAGAAAAAGAAAATATGGTCAACAATCAAAGGGAGGTAACTGTTCTTACATTCCTCAGCATAATCGTTAGCAAAAGCCATCTTTAAACAAGATACTGTGCCCCTGATATGGTAAAACAATTCTGCCCTGGGTGTAGACTAAAGTGGTATACACTTACCCTTGATAGCGCAATGGTTATAAGCTAGGTAAAAGTTGACAATAGACAGACAAACAGACAGACAGGACAAAAACATTATACCCCTGGGATCTTTCAATCCAGGGGCATTAAAATGTTTGGTTGCCCTCTCTGGACTGACTGACTAGAACAAAATATTTTATTTTATTTTTATTCTTTTCATCCCGTCAAGAAATATGTTGAATTTTCTGGATAAAAGATTTTCCCACCTACTTACCTACCCAATAATTTTCCCCTGAGTTGGGAGAGGTCAAACAAACATTATTTTAAAGATGGCCTTAATCACATGTTTTTAATCTTTGT